ATCTGTGCACTGAATAGTCTCTACTGTATAGAAACATGATCTGTGCACTGCAATTTCTCATGAATAGTTAATTTAGAAAAAGATCTGTGTATGGCTGCAAGTCAGGGGAATCTACTATCTCGTGCTGTGACATTTCAAAAGACCATTCAACAGCTCATATTTAATGTCAATTAACCTGATGAGTTGTTCTGTGTCAAATATTCACACACATTTTCTGAAAGCATTTATGTTGAAACTCTGGACAGTGTATGCCTACTGACAGCTTAACCTGCATCCTGAAAGGCTAATAATTGCATTAAAGTTTTGTTATTTCTAAGTTATTCATATAAAAAAAACTGAAAAATTAGTTTCATATTATTTTTCAATTTACTATTGGTTTCATACTGTTTTTTTTTTTCTTCCATTTTTAAATAAGCATTATTATATATTTTAAAAATTCTTGTACTTTGCCCAGATATCTTCAAATCTGAAGTACTGAAGTAAGCTTTTTATTTTTTATTTTTTTTTGCATTGCAATAAAAAATAACATTTTATTGATTCTGACCTATTTTTTAAATGAATACCATATGTGAAAATAATAAAATTCCAACAGATCGCCTAGATAAGGCATTTCTAAGACCTGGAAGAATGGACAAGATTATTTACGTGGGTCTCCCTAACCCCGAGGGCAGAGTGGAAATACTTAAAGCTCTTACCAAGGTATTGTTAACGATTGAAATCAAATGAAATTTACCGTATTTAAATTATTTTAAATACTTTTAAATTTTAGAATTTGTGAATGCCACGGCCACGGTTTTGATAGATTAGTCAGAAATGTTATGTGGTGAATTTTGCCTCAAAGCAAACTCCATTTTTAATTCATCATTATATCAGAATTGCAGTCAAACTTTTGCCACAGATTTTATGGAAAGAGACTGTTAACCATTGTTAAACTATTTACCATTGGTTCATTATCAAAACAAATTTATTTCAGAATGGATCAAGACCAAAACTTGCAAATGATGTTGACCTTGAGAAAATTGGAAAAGACAAAAGATGTGATGGGTTTTCGTAAGTCCTTAAAAGAAAAATCTTAATTTTCTTCAGTTGTCATAACAGAAATTTTAAATGAGACCTATATAATTTTTATAGTTTATAGTTTCCTGTGCACATTTATTTTTATTATACAACTGCTGCTCAACTTGTAAATCTACAGCAAATTTTGTTTTAAAGGATTTTTTTATTCCCCTCCAAACCATCTGCCTTCCCACATTACTATTGTGCAATGGGGGTGACATTTAAATGTTCATCTTCTTTTTCTATATCTTAAGGGCCCACGATCAATTTATTGATCATTTTGGCTCCTATGCATGCAGATGGGATTTGCAATGTTTCTGTGGCTGGTGTTGATGAGGAAATTTCACTAATTTCCAGTGCCACTTTGTGAGGGAATCATGCACTAGGGGTTTGAAGGCTTGAGGCAATGGACACAAATGTGTCTAGTGTTGTCGCCTCAACCGTTCCTTTTGAAAGCTTGTTCCAGTCCCTGATTGTCTTGGGCAGGAAATGAGCAGCTCCTATATTGTTACACTGTAGCTTTGAGAGACACATTGAGTCTTATCTAAATATTCAGGCAATAATTAGTTTTTGACTTTCTCCAAGTTGGAATAAGCTTTCCTACTCAATGAAGTTCATTGCATCAACTGTCAGATCAGTTTTGAACTATTCTGTCTGACACAATGTCAGAAGTAAAATTGTTTTTGAAGTGAGATGATCAACTTAACAACATATTAATCACATAACGTTATTTTTGTCTACAGTGGAGCAGATTTGGGAAATCTTGTTCAAGTGGCCAGGGAGGCGTGTCTCGAAGAAATCATCGAGTCTACTGAAGCCAGTAGCGCTTGGCAAGTACCAGTGGTCAATAATGCACACTTTGAGGTGTCTTTCCAAAGTGTGAGACCCTCGGTAGATGCTGAGGTAGGTCAAGGATATAAGAGATTATTTTGTAATTCAAAAGCATTCATTTGTGTAAACCAAGACTTTTGTCCATTGTAGCTACACTTAATCCATGAATTGGCGCCTACAAACAAATAAATTACATACATCCATAAGATTCAACTGGGGATCTTAGTGTTTTTATCATACTGAAGCTATTATTAAAATATATGTTTTCATCAGTTTCATTTATTAAACCTATTTATAAGGCTTTTTTTTTCATAAGTTTTAGGAATGTAATATCATTTTATGTTAAAATTGTCTTTATTTTAAAAACATATTTTACCCAAAAGTTATAAACTTATACAAGTCATGTTTTTATGATTAAACTTATTGGACGTTTTTAACAGGTTGACATGAGCTAGTAATATTGTTACTTGTATTTGTAGAGCAAGAGAAACTATGAAGCTGTTAGAAGGCTCCTTGAGAAGAAAACGTCTAAGAAAGATTTAGCTGAACTGGAGGCAGATTCTAAGACAGAATCAAACCCAATGGAGATCCACTGATATTCTGTGACCATAAAATATTGACAATCTTGAATGATCGATTACTTGGTGTGTGCATTTATTGTGCATTATTTGGTGTGTGGAACAGAAGCATTTTGTGTGTGGACACTGAAATAAAGCAATAATATCATCATCTAATAATAGTGTGCTGTATTACACTTTATGTCAAAATGAATGGAAAAGATGAGTTATTTTGAATCTAATAAAATAAATTTTATTTTCAAATTCATCAATAATGGGTAGTACATTCTAGATTTTAAACATGACAGACTATTATTCAGTTTCATAATTTGAAATGTGCGATTTCCAAATAAGGTGTATAAGTAACACAAATCTGTTGAAACGTGATATACCGTATTCAACAATGTTTGGATATTGACTCTAAATCATTACATTTAAAACAGAACAGTATTTAATATTCAATAATATAAGTAATACTGATAAGTAAAAATATGCCATTTTGTGTTTTAAAACAATGATATTTAAAATTTAAGAAAATCATCATTTTTTTTCTCCAAAAATGGAACTGATAAACTTGACTAAGTACTGATGGAAGAAATAAAAAGATTATAGTATGGGCTTTCTTTTACAATTCAATTATAGCGGCTTAAAATGTTTATTTTTAAAAATTTAACCAAAATTCTTTCATGAGATAATATGTATGTTAATGAGTCTTACTTTCAAGCTATAATTTTCACTCGACTTTTCCATATTTAAAATATAAATCTTCCTGCCACCACCATTTCATTCGGCCATTTTGCAGATGAATTTTTATTTAAAAACATAGGTGATTAAATAAGTGGGTCAAAATGTGTTTTTTCAACAGTCTGTTAGGAAGTCTTGCAACTTAGTTGCTTTGTGGTGTATACTGTACATATTAAAATACACATACTCGTCAGAACTGCACCAGCCTCTCCACGTTTGCACCTTATAAATTTTCTCAATGCTCCTGTCTTGGGAATTGAAGCACAAGCAGCAACTGATAAATCAACAACACTATCGTTAATTATTGGCCTGTATTCTCAACAGTGCTGTTCTCATGCTTTTTTATTTTTGTTAAAACTTTAGCAACATCCACTTTGGCTGCTGAAGAATGAGTATGGTTTTTTAGTTTCTTGAAACGTAAACTCATCCTTTGTATGTAATCTGTAATCAATTATTACAGCATCAATATTTTAAAATTTGCCACATTTACCACACTTCTCAAAAAACATATTGAAATCCTACTGGAGAGAACCTGAAATTTAATTGACTTTTAAATGCCGGTAGTAAATTGATAAAACGATAAAATAATGTGTTTTAAATATACTTTAGATACACCTATCACAAAGGGCTGTTCAAGTTAATCCCTCAAAAAAGGACCCTGTCAAAAATAACAAATATTTGTACAAAACAAATAACAAATTTGTTTAATAAAACATCTCAAAATAATAGATGTGTAGTCTTTCAGCTATAATAATAATAATGGAAATAAGGACCACCACTGCAAAAGGACTGTTTTAGTTATTAAAAATTTGGACCCTGTCTGTAAACTGCTTTGGATAAAGAACCGCTATTAATTGAAAAGGCCATATGATCAAAATCAGGCTTGGGGTTCAAGCCTCAAAAGTTCTATCCTACATAAATATTGAAATTAAGGGCGCTGTCAAGAATCTTTAATTTAATACTTTTAAATTATTGTTTATCCCCTCATGGTTAAAATTATATGCTCGTTAGACACTTTAAATTCATTGCCATTGATTTTATTTTATAAAGGGATTTAAAAATTGGTGCACCAGTCCCAAATGGAGTGAATGTTGCTATTTCCAACCCTATTTTAGCAAGTCATTTTTGCAAGGGAAAGGTTTGGTTACCTGTGATCAATTCATATTTTTTATACTGAACTGTGTATTTTGTATTTAAATTATATTGTTTGTATCGATCCTTTCTCTTTGTCAGCCTAATAGCCCATCTGCAAAACGGCAGCTGTGAATAGTCGTAGAACCTGCATTTAGTCGCGTAAATTGACTAAATGCTGACTGCGTGGAACTCCCAAAAATTAAATATTATTAAACAACAGTTCATTCCTTTTAATATATATGAACAATCTTTTCTGCTTCAGCTCAAAACAAGATTGCTAACAAATCAGAAGTGCTGTTTTATAGTAAAGTTAATGGACTGTCCTTAAATATTAGTAAAAGCTATAGGATGTCCATAAAATATTAGAAATTGTTCTTGAAGGTTTTTAAAGCGAAACAAAAACTGCTTGCTTTAAACCGAAATGATCTTAATCAAGAGAAATTAAACACTGTTGTGAGTGCCATGCAATAAAGTAACACTACATAAGACAGTGCATCATATTATAGATTTATATACTTAAAAGAGATAAAGTCACATGACACATAAGGCTAATTATTTGTAGAGCCTTAGATTTAACAAAGTTTTAATAATGTGGCCATAAAAATATGTTTGCACGTAAAAATTAAAAATATTGAAGACTAAAATAAATTTCTGTTAATATTGTTTAATTGAACTGTCAAGGCTGGCTCAAAACCTCAAACTTGGTCATGAAAACTGCCAAAATATTATGTCTTTTTTTTGGGGCATAGATCAAAAATGAAAAAATTAAGAAAAAAAAGAATGAAGAATGCATTCTGAAACATTCATTTAAATTTAAAGATAAATTCATTTAAATTTAAAGATAAAACAGATGGTATCATTGGGATTTCGCTCTTCTTTTTCTTCTTAACATTGATATGTAAACAGCATTGTGCACAACAGATATGAAGATGAGATTCTCTATGAGGATCTTGGTCCACGAAGCTGAAACAAAAAGATTTAAAAATAGGCATTTTTTTATGATAAGCTCCTCTTAATAATGGTAACTAATTGTTTCTGAGGTCAAATAGAATAGGCTTTATTTTACATTACTAATAGAGAGTCAGTTTACTTACATTATTATATAAATTGTATTTTTACACGGATTAAAAGTGTTTTAACAACTTATAATGATTTAAAAAGGGCATAAAGTCATAAAGAGAAGTAAGTAAGAGTAAGTAGGAAGTTGGGGTTGACATTAAAATGTCCTCATATTGCATGCTGAGATAAATGATCTGATTACAAAATGATGCACTGACCTTTGAGAATCATCTTCTCAATAATGACCCATGTTGTTGTGATGTCAAAAAAGAAACAGAAAATTAGCCAACACGATATGACATACAAAGGCACAATAAAGATAACTCTTAACCTCAACTGCATGGCTGCACTCAGCTTTGACTTCTGAGGATGCACAAAACAGAATAGATGTGTAAAAATAATAGTCACAGTGGCTGGTAAGTAGTGAGTTCTGTGGTTTTTGAGGAAGGTTAACTATTAACTGTGAACTCTTAAGTCATTTTAACAGAATATACATTTTGACAAACTTACCAGTCTGACCCCTGGTGTTGACTGTTCTAAACATTTAGCAATCTTCTCCACAACTCCAGTAAGAAAGTTGCCAGCGGCCCAAATGAACAAATTTATGCGTGCACCATGCCAATAAAATATGAAGAAAAAGGCTACAGCTGAGGCGCGGAAATGGTTGAACCAGCCTGCCTGAGAGCCTCCGAAAGGAATGAAGATATACGTTTTAATGAACTTGTAGAGACCACAATCAAAATATTTCCACATGTCTGTGTATGAGTAGACCCAGGAGATACATCGAGGGTTGGGGTGGGGTGTTACTCCATCAAATCTTGAGAGCTGTCCAGTGAGTCCGTAAGAGCAGAAATACTTGACCATAAAGATTTGCCCCTGCATGTAACCCATGGCACAAACAGCAGCCAGAGACAACTGCTTTACCACAGAGGGATGTGACCCAAGTGAGCTGAAGTAAAAGAAGTGAAGTAGAAAGTCCAGCAACAGAGCCCAAAATAAGATTTTCAGTAGATTTGTGCAGATGTTCCGAATATCCATGGTCTGCTCTTTGGCATTGAAATGAGCATTAATGTCCAGGTAAAAAGCACGAAAAAGATATATTGGGCCATGTACAAATTTTGGTAGATAAAATGTATAAAAGAAAAAGTCCATGAAACATGGTCTATTGTCCTCAGTCACTGAAGTTTCCTGGGATGGACTTAGATACTCTTTGCTCACTTCTGGATAAATGGGTATTTGGTTTCTCTTGGGATCAAGTTCCATACTTTTAGAATCTGTATACTTGGTTTGTTCCCATTTGATTTTATCAATGGCAAAACTCACAAGGTGAATGTCGAAAAAGCCAGAGGCCACAATAAAGGAATGCGCTGGGGTATCAGGATTCCTCAAGAAGAAATGCCTTAGCTGTGTAAATAATATTTAATAATAATAAAACAACAAGCAGAAAATTGATAGATTGATTTGAAAAACATGACCAGCCTATTTGAAGTGACTAAAATGATTCTTGATTTTGGTTTGAAATTTAGGTTTACTTTGTACATAACTCCTTCTTAATTTTTTATCCTAATGCGGCATCCATGTACATACATACATCTAAAATTTCATGTAGAAAGTAAAAAAAGTTAAAGAATTACACAGCACAAATTCACATTTTGAATTACCTAGTGGGTAAAAGAAATCACACCTCTTTTTTTTTTTTTTTACCTGCCATTCCAATAATGTTGAATTGTTACCAGTTGCGGTCATGATTACGGCTGTTAGCCACACAGCTTATCTAAAATTTCATGTAGAAAGTAAAAAAAGTTAAAGAATTACACAACACAAATTCACATTTTGAATTACCTAGTGGGTAAAAGAAATCACACCTCTTTTTTTTTTTTTTACCTGCCATTCCAATAATGTTGAATTGATACCAGTTGCGGTCATGATTACGGCTGTTAGCCACACAGCTGGTATACAGGAAGTGCAGGAGATGATATACATCAATAGGAATTTTGAAAGGTATAACAGCACTGGCCAGACTCCGAAAAACATGGCTAAGGCAGCGACATCAAATACTGACAGGATAAAAACCCTGACCTATCCAAAGTGATTGATTGAGAAATTAATGCTTATGCTATTTATAAGTATAAGGTCTTCAAATTATAATTACTTTACTAATTTAAAGTTTACACCTGATCAAATCATATTGGTTAGGTGATCTTTTTTAAAAACTTTATACTCATAATCAGGTATGCTTCAATCTTCCAAAAAAATATTGCTTCTGTGACAAAAATTTTACAGTGGAAATTATAGGTACTGGAGAGCAAAAAAAGGGAAATGAAATATTATCCCATTAGCTTTATCACATAATAATAATAATAATAAAGTTTATTTGAAAAACACGCTTCATCCCCAAAAGTTCAAAGCGCGATACAAAGTCAACCATATTAAAAAATATAAAAAAAACAATCTAAAATTTACCACATTTAAAAACAGAAGCAACAATATAAAACTACATACGAGCATAATATGATCTAGTTCATGTTACAACATCCTATCTTAAATAACCCATCATTGGCATTGAAAATTTAGAAAATCTTGTTTATGAGAAATTTTCCAAAAGACATTATCAAAAAATATTGATTTAAATTGTGATATCTTTATTTTTTATTATCCATGTAAAAATATAACAAGATTAAAATATTTTTTTTTTTTAATATGATTTTCTAAAAATGTACAACAAAGTATAAAATAAATGTCCCCCAAACTTCAGAGTTATTAGTTTATGTGTGTTCTTTGTTTCAGCTCAGTTGGAGATCAGGAAGTGGGTCAAAATTGAGATGCAAGATTTGACCCAGAGCCGTCACTCAAGGGTTAGAGGAGGTCACAGGTGAGTGGGGGTGACCTCTCCTATATTTTGTGGGTCCAGGATCAATGTATTGATCATTCTGGCTTTGTAGAGGAAGTTTCATGATTTTTCTGTGCATGGTTTTGAAGAGGATACTTCACTGGTTGCCAAGGGCTACTCAGTGATGGTATTATGAACTGGGGGTAGGAAGGCAGGAGGCAATAGACGCAAATGTGTCAAGTGTTGTCGCCTCAAATGTTTCTTTTGGAAGCATGTTCCAGACCCTGATTGTCTTTGGCAGGAATGAGCAGTTCCTGTACTGAGTTCTTGTTTTTATGAGCCTGAACTGCCCGTCATGGCCTCGTCGATATTTAGTGAGAAGAGGGATGAGTTTCTGTTTAATGCTGGAGCAGTGGACCAGCCCATTTTTTTATCTTGAACATCATGGAGAGCCTGGATAATCATCACCATTCTTCCAATGGTGACCAGCCCAGTAATTCCAGCAAACTGCCAACACTAGAGGTGTTCCAGTAGTGGTTAAGGACAAATGTGCTGCCCATCACTGGATCACCTCCAACCTGTCAATGCTCTTCTGGGTGAAAGGTCACAGACTGAAGATGCATAATCTAAAAGCGGCAGGACAAAGGCTTTATAGGTTTTTTTTCATGCTGGCGTTGCCAAATCTTAAATTTCGCCTTAGGATCCTACTGATCATGGAGGGTCAAATCGTCGAGGATGGTTATATGAGTACAAATTTTCAGCTCTATCGGACATAAGGAAGTGGGTCAAAATTGAGGTCAAAATTTGACCGAGACAAACAAACTGACAAAATAGCAAGCTAATAAATAAAAGCGCATAAAAAATTATACGTGTAAAAATTGACAGAAAATAACAAAAATTTTACTTTTTTTTTAGCAGAGAAGAAGAAACAAGCCTGTGACAGGCTCAAATGACAAATGTTTGACAGGATAAGCCATGGTAGAGAACTTTTCCACATACTCCATTCATTGTCAGATTGGTCCTAGAGAAAGAAGATGAAAAATATCTATTTCTTTAAGTTTAACTATTTAAAGGAAGCCTGATTCTATTTTGTCAATAAAAATTTGATTTTAACATTGGTTGGGGGAGAGATGTGTTACGCCCCTATGCTGTTCAATGAATTTGAAGAAGCTCGTGGTCTAGGAGATTTGAAAAGGGGCTAACACAGGTAGATTTTAGACACACTATTGGCTAAAATAAAGACAATCAGTGCTCTATATAAGCATACTTTATTATATGGAATATAATGTGAACAAAGAAACATGTAATCTACAATAAAGAAATGAATACAGGTCTAACAATATCTAAATCTTACAGTAATATAAACAATACTATCACTTGTCTAAGTTCCTGGAATTAATATTTCTGCTAACTATTGCATGGCCTTATCTAGTACTCAGCAAATGCAACGGAAAGCTAGTCACGCATGGATATGCTCATCTTGTATCTCTCCCTATCTGTAGGGGGATACACCCAGTCTTATACTTATCATTTCACGTGGCTTGACCTTAATGTAGGTCAATGTTTGCTTAATAGAGGTTGCTCGGGCCAATGACATGTCACCCTTCCTGGAACTTGGTAATCTGATACGGCTAGGTTAATGAGGTACATAAAGAAAATGGCCCTACCTTGTAACAGATCCCATAAGTCTTTATAAAATTAAAAATACAAACACACTGTATTCAGTCTGAATTCAGCTATTTAATTAATTTATGCATCTTCTTTTTTATCTTGAATTTAATTATCTGTTCAATGTTAAAGAAACCTTATATAATAAACTTTATGAATAAAAAAAAAACTTTGCTGAGTCTCCCCTAAACACTTAATTTTTGCTACACTTGTATTAAGTCATTCACATAATGGAGCTTTGTTGTTATACCTTGTGCTATTCCATCATGAATTATGTAGTTTTCCTATCTATCCACTCTTATGATAGTGTTGCATAATTAATAAATCAACTGCAAATGCCATTTTTACTGATTTTTAACATACCTGGTCGTGACCTAACCACCTCCAATTCTTCTGGAAATCACTAGGATGTAACCACCTTTTATTGCCTTGTTAAAGAAAAAAAAAATGCTATCATTTTAAACCTTTAAATACAAAATATTTTAAAAACAACAAGCCCTAATCTTTATCAAGCACACTTATATGTTTATACTGGTAAATTTATAGTAGCTTCAGATCTAAAACACAGATGCAGCATATCCGGAAATTTATTTGAAAGAAATTTCGTCAATGAAAAATTGATCTATGGAATTTTTTAAAACGGAAATTTGGTCGAATCTTTTTTTCAATTCATACGTTAAAATTTTGCATCAAATTTCTTTTTGAAGGCATTATTTTGTTTTACTATATAGCAGGCCTGCACAACTCAAAATGTAAGTAGGGCCGTAATAACTTATGAAAAACGTGGGTGGGCCAAAAGAAAATAAGATAGGACTTGTGCGGACCAAAAGAAAATAGGTCAGGTGGAAAGATATTAAGAAAAGGATAAAAAAAAAGATTATTTTGTTACTTCGCCGGCCACAAAGTGAGTGCTGGCGGGCCTTATGTTGTGCAGGCCTGCTTTATAGTATAGTGCGTTCAAAAAGTCTAAAACAATTTTTAAGTTTTAAAATGAATGATTTATTCATATAATTGAACTTGCTTCTTCCCATAAAAAGGTAATTGAACCAACAATTTTATATTTTCACTGTGATAAAATGTTAACTTTTATAGGCTTCATATTGATTACCAGGAACATCTGTGACACCACATTTATTAAAATAAAGTCAGGAAATTTTGGGAGAACAAAAATACTTCAGTTTGAGATTTTTTTCAAAAAGCTGTGTATATTATAACGGCTCTTTTATTTTGTATATGTTTCTTCTTTGGGGAGTGGGGGTGGAGGGGAGTTGTGTTTTGGGAAGTAGGTTTTGGGGTGGGGGAGAGGAGAATGGACTTGTATTATGTCTTTATTCTTAATAATTCAATAATTAGGGCTAATTTAATAAGCTGGTTCTTTTTTGAATTACCAATAAAAAAGGTTCTAGGCCATGAAATTAATATTTTATTAGTCTCCTGTTCTGAATTAGTGAATAGCAATAGCCTACCAAAGAATTAATTAATGTACAAATTTGAGAGATTATTCCTGGAAATATTATTTCATTAATTTTACACAATTGGAAGGGGTTTTGATTTTACATTAAAATCAGTGCTGATGTAAGCTAAGAGACATTTTATTTAACCCCCCACCCCCAACCACACCCCCTTTTTCCCCAAGTCTATCATCACAATATCCAAAATTATTTGTAGATTGAAAGAACAGATTTTGGGTGTGCCTATTATTTAAAATTACAATTTTAGAAATTGTTGAAAGTGAATTATGTTTTTTTCTCCAAAAAAGTGTTAAAACTGATGTTTAATAATGTAAATTATTTACAGTATGGGCATAATAAATAAAACTTTAAAAAAAATACATCCATAGTTCATGAATTATCGAAGTGGCTATTCGGACCCAGGTGGGAGAAGTTAGAGGTTGGGGTTAAAATTTTAACAAAAATATTATTGTTCCGTTGTAAGACAAAATTTGGTATCAAATGAAAAGATAATTGAATGGACTATATGTTTGTAAACTTATTTCTTCATTTTGAATAAAAATAAACTACCACAAATGACATCCGAATAGCATTGAGTCTAAACAGGGGTCTCAAACCCGCGGCCCAAGAGACGATACTTGGCGGCCTGAAACCTGACAGCAAATTTTAGTGTTAATGCGGTCCGCACGTTTTCCTATTCTCGTATCTATACTGTGAACCTTTGCGACGGTTTCATTCGAAACTTAACGACTAGTCTCATTCTGATTTTGTATACATTTGGACGTTGATTATAATGGTAAAAACCGTTTTAAATTCGGACTATAATGTTTTTATTTTATAGTATAGGATTTTATGAGACAAACATGGCCAAAGTGAGGTTTTAAGAAAAGTTTAAAAAGTCAGTTAGTGAGTAATGCACAACCATAATTGTGTAAATTGTAGCAATCTGACACAGTTTCAAAGAATCCTTATTAAAATTGCTGCTTTTGTGTATGAGTGAGGGAAATTCCCAGCATGTCAGATTTGTCACAATCAAAATAGGGTTAGTCAATAAGGCCTTTTCTACGATAAAAAAATCAAAACTCATTCTCCCTATAATAGCATCTTCCTTCACATTAATAATACATAAATATTGCCTGCACCTGCCTGCTGTTTGAACACGATTTAGCCTTTAAAGCCTTCATAGAGAAGGATGGGGTGGTTGTTCTTGTATTAAGTGATCCCAAATGGGTCAAGCACTTGGCTTTTTTTAATAACATAACACAGGAGCTGAATGTACTCAACAAGAATTTACAAGGGGCAGCTTGTCGGTGTTGCCTATGGCAATGTCAGGGCACTCTGCACAAAACTTGAGTTATGGAAAACCCAGCTTCGCAGAGAAACCTTTGCCTTTTTCCAACATGTAAAGTACTCATTGACTCGGGCACACCCTTCATTAGTAAGTATACTGATGCCATTGCCAATCTACAGGAAGAATTTGATCATATGTTTCCAGACTTCAAAACACACAGTGCCACTTTTCAAATTTTTGCTGACCTTTTCTCCTTCAATGTGGAAGATGCCACACGACCACTTTTTTTTTTTGCACTTGATTGATTGAATACTTATATAGTGCTAAGTATCCATGCTATTTTAGCATGCTCACTGCGCTCTCAGTGATGGCATCCGGGCGTCGCAAGGGTTGTCGGAATGATTCATTGTTTTGATGTTTTGCCGTCTGTAGGGGACGCCATCTCCGGATTTGAATTTAGAGTTTCCCTATCTTAGATGAGTTGCCGACCAAGGTTAACAAGTCCCGAGTCCCGTCTACCCGGGGTGCTGGTGAGTTTTTTTTCGCTTGACTGGGCTTTGGCTGGAATTGAACTTCAATTACCTGATTGATCTTCAGTGCAATTCTGAACTCAGGGCTAAGTGCAAGGGGATGAATGGAAAAACAGACAAGCATGGAAATTTAAGAGAGACTTGCTCTCTAACTTCCCTGAGATTTCCAGGTTGTTAAAGCGGATCATGTGGCTTTTTGGAAGTACCTATCTGTGTGTAAAGCTCTTTTCCACTATGAACTTTAACAAGTCATAATTCATAAACTTATGATGAGCATCTTTAGGCTATACTGAGGGACTCAGTTGCTTCTCACTCAAGCCAAATGTTGCCCAGCTGTTTAAGAAGTAGCGCTGCCAGGACTCTGGCAACAAGGAGTAGGACGAAGTGAAGCCTAGTTCTTGAGAACCCTTGATGTTTTGTTATTAAAGCTTGAGCAGATTGTAACAGTTGTAATTTGTAATCACTTTTTTGTTGAATATTTGAGGCGGCCCAGTCTCACTCAGACTCTACCTCTGGCCCCCGGATGATTTGAGTTTGAGACCCCTGATCTAAAGGGACCCGGGTCCGAATAGCGGCGAAGCATTTCCGGTTCCATTTTGACTAAATGTCATTTGTGGTAGTTTATTTTAGTTAAACTTAAGAAGTAAGTTTAGAAACATATAGTCCATTCAATTATCTTTCATTTGATACCAAATGTTGTCTTACAAACCCTACAATAATTTTAAAATATTTATTAATAAACCCAAACTCTAACTTCTCGGACCCGGGTCCGAATAGCCGCAGCCATGAATTATATTCAATTCAAGGACTAACTTTGACCCTCCAAATAAAGGCAATATAAGGAGCCGAAAATTGGTATAACTCCAACAATCCAGTACACCATTCTCTCCCATTTTGGCAGCACATCCACCAACATTATTTAAAAACTGGAACATAGATTTCAAGAGAAATGTTTACAATACATCATATAAATATAAAAAGAACAATTTGTGCAATAATTGGCAATATTATTTTTCATAAAATTTAATTTATGATAAATTTAAAGCAGGCGGCTGTGGACTGTGGAATTTTAGCAAACACCAGCCTCACCCCCTTGTTGGCGCCTCCAATCCCACTGCCCCAAACACTTGAACGAAATTAATGCTACTTAGTACTATACTATTAAGACTAAGATATGATTAAGTTGCAAATTCCATTTGGTCCATTTTATTACAGCAAACAACATTATAACATTATAACTTTATAACATTAAAATAAAGAACAATAAAAGTAAATAAAAGAAGAAGTTATTGAAAAGATCTGAGTAAAAACTTAAAGTTTAAAAGGAATATGAATATAATATGAAAAATAAACTAAAGTTTTTAAATTATGTATTTATATAATCATCACTTGATAAAAGTTGATGTCACAGTACTCACAGATCGGACTCTGCAGACCATCAAAACAATCCACCTGATTGAAGCCGTAGCAGACAATAAACTGAATAGGCCGCAATAGACTCAATAGAGCAATTGGCTTCATAGGCCCAATCAATAAATTCAAATCTCGACTTCGATAGGACAAATAAAAAGTCCATGTATAAAATTATGTAATTCAGATAGGAATCGCATCCCCAGAATATGTAAAGAAGAAATCATGAAAGAAAAATCTATTTAAAAAAAAAAAACTGACGAAAATGGAGGGTGAAGAATGGAATAAATTTAAAAGAAAACAAAACCAAATTCATACTACCCCATTCATTCATTATGATTCATTATATTCAGTAGATTTATTCCGTTTCGTTTTATTAAAAACTATCGAGCCCAAACAAATGCTAAAGAAAGATGGCTGCGTCCATATTAAGGTCGTGTAGATTTGGAGAACAAATTATTTGGATGGGACAGGTTTGATTTGTGTATTATTTATAATATTATGGCCCATAGTTAAATAGATCATATATTTTGGTTAATGTGAAGAGATAGCCCCCTGGTTCCGATAGTGGTCAAAGCCCAGGTTAGGCATATCATATCGGAATAAGTCTTAGATCTGAATAAGTAATTATAAGTATTTAGTATAGTATAAGTTTAGTTAGGGTTAATTTAATAAGGTTAGGTTAATTAGTTTAGGGATAGATTTAGGGATCAGATTAGGTTTAGGGATACATTTAGGACATTAGTTTGCGGGTCCTGGCAACCAAAGTAACTATATTTTTATTGGAACAGTTATGACTATGAGTATGAGATATGAGTATAACCCAGGTTATGTCAATGGCCTTGGAGTTTTCCAAAAAGTAGGTACTTGAATACAAAAGTTTTAAAAATTGAAATAATTTGTTTAATAACACAGTTAGTTAGAGCAAATTTCAAATAAAAAAATGAAACCAGAATCAACTTTTTAGCTTAAGTACTTTTTGAGCTACAAATTTTTAAAGTGTGAGTTCGTTTGGCATTTTTTACTTTTACTATGGCTATGGACCATGGACAAAACCTCCACATCTTGTGACTTCATTCCGCTGATCGCATCATGCGCAATGACTATATACTTTATATAAGGCAACGCATCGCCTTATCACTAAAATACTGTTTAGGGTCGACTTAGTTTAAACTTTTGCACATGAAAAATTAATTAAAGCTTTCCCTGACCAATGGTATAATACTTTTTACACACGGCAAACTCTTATGAATGAAACTCTGAGGTAGTAATACGATACAGCCATTATGCAAGGGGCTGTGAATGGTTGCCAATGACAACGTGTTGCACACCTGCACACCGTAAATTCTGATCATTTATAATATGGACTCTACGAGGTTGTTAAAGCTCAAATTAAAACATTCCAGTTTAAATGTCTTCAAAATGCATTCTGAAACACAAGTTATCAAATATTTTGATGTAAATAGTGGTAATAAATTAATATTTCCTAAGTATCAGCAACTTCCGCCATTAAAAAGAGGGCGTGGCCCACCCCATGGCGAAATTAGGTTGAGTGAAATGCATGACCTGCTGCGAACGCATAGAAACATGGCGTCTCTCGTAAGACACATCGCTGTGAAAATTGGCATACATGTAGATCAATACATTCCCCAGATGCCAAAAAATTTGGTAGTGACAAATTTTTTACTTCGACTTAATTTTAATGATGAAAGTTGCCTCATATTTACCAAGGATTTTCTCAAAGCTGACTGGTTGTAAATGAAAAAGAAATTGATTAAAATGTAGGCCAAGATGTCTATCGAAATATAAGGCCGGAAACGGAACTCAAATATGCGTTGAAAGTACTCATTTAATAATATATAGACACACACATAGGAAAATTAAAAACTCGAATTTTTCGGCGCCGATTGCCACTTCCGATACACAATAAGTAGTAGTCTCCCTTGATTACCGAAGTATCTACAAAAAAGCAAAGCGTTAATAAATCAAATAAATGAGAATGAATATTGAATGAGTCTAATTCTAATAGTTATAAAAGGCCTAATTATAATAATACTTATACACTAAATCACTAAACTTTAGTCTAAACTATTATAATAAAGCCTAAATTTTAGGCCATTTTTAGGCTGTGCCTAATTTTATAATTTAAGTCAATAATAATTAATAGGCTATAGGGCCTATCCCTAATTACTAATAATATGTTTTAGTTTTAGGCTTGGACACTGGTGAAAAAAAAAGACGCCAGCCAAAATTGCTGTATTTTGAATAGTTGAAATCAAAATACCTGTATGTTGAAACTTAGGTAACAAAAGGAAGACTACTGGATAAATTGCATTTGGAATGATCTTCTAGGGACTTTCAATAACATTTAAGTACTTTCTAAAACATAACTTATTTTGATGTAAATAGTGGTAATAATTAAATATTTCCTAAGTATCGGCGTCTTCCGCCATTAAAAGCGGACGTGGCCACTTCCTTGTCGAAATAGAGCTGAGCAACATTACCATAAAGCAATTTACTCAAAGAGCATAGCACGTGGCCAACATGTCATAACTCAATGAGAATGGACACAAATATATATTGATAGATAATACAGAGTAAGACTTAATAAAAGACATAAAAGTTGAACTTCTTTACGAATTTTTTAGTGAAAGATGCCTTATATTTAAAGGGGAATTTTAAAATACAGTTTGATTGAAAAATCCAATCAAAACAATGAAAATGTAGGTCAATATGTCTACTAAAGTGAAAGGCCGGAAATGGAACTCAAATATATGTAAAAAATACTAATTTATTAATAAATAGACACACACATCAGAAAATTAAAAACTCAAATTTTTCGTCGCCAATCCCCATTTCCGATACACAAAAAGTAGTAGTCTCCCTTGCTTTATGAAGTATCTAATTTAGATTGACTGATTAGACTGTGTCCTGTATATCAGGCCTGCACAACATACGGCCCACAAGCCGATTGCGGCCCGCCCCGCCAGCGCCCACTTTGGGGCCCGCGAAGTAACGAAATATTCTTTATTCTTTTTATTTTATTATTTTCTTTATAGCTTTCCCCCACCCCCCCTGTCCTATTTTCTTTTAGCCCGCACAAGTTTTTCATAAAGTATTACAGCCCGCCTTACATTTTGAGTTGTGCAAGTCTGCTGTATATGATTAGAATATTAATATTATAAATACTTAATTTGTGAAGTACTCATTTTAGTCTTAGTTTTAGGAAAGCTTGCTTAGGCCCATACTTAGTAGACCTACATTCTATTAACGAATGTTATATAAATGTAAGTTATATTTTAAAAAATAGGTCTATAATACTAGGTATTTCACATAGCGGTGCGTGCCGATCGATTTTTCGGATGCAGGAAACAGGCCATAAACCTGTGACAGGTCAATGCCGATTGGTCACGGGGTCATATGGAGATCTAGTTTGCTTTGTCTACGTAAAGGAGTGACAATGAACTTATTATAGTCTGTTTTGTGCACACGAGGAGGACGATCATTACGACATAAACTTCGGGATTCTTTCACTCCTGTATTTTGAGAAAGAAATAATTATTTTTAATTATGCAAAACTTGTTTATTTGTTGTTTGCTATTTCTTCTTGCGGAGTTCAATTGCGGTTGATCGGTCGGGGATCAAGATGTAAACCGATGTAAAGTGGCTAATTGGGCCGCCTTTTGTGCTCAAGATATCAGGGTTCGGCAACGTAAAAGAATCGACATAACCGAGGAGTACTAGTATTTATTTACCTGATCATCCCCTGATGATTGTGACTGTAGTGAGCCATTGATGGCGGGAATGCACTGATGGAACTAGTTGACTTTATAGAATAAATATTAATAAATGTTTGAGTATCAGTATAGACTATTTAATTCTTTGGTGTATGGCCAAATTTTTTACTTCTTCCCAGTGTAATATTCAAAGAGTAAAAAAAGTAAGGTAAAAGCAATCAATACACTAACTAAAGTTTTTAAAAAAAGACTATTATACTATACTGATATACTCATATTACTGTAGTGTTAGCGTAAACTAGTCACTGATACTGATAGGTGTGGTAAATGTTACTTTGGCTTGCCACTCATTTTTTTAGTTTACCCAAGTCTAGTCTAGCTGCTTGATGACCTACTTCTCCATTGTTTCCAAAAATAAAATTAAAATTAGGCTAAGGCAAAGGTAAATAGTTTTGTGGTTGAAAAAACTAAGGAAATGGTAATATTTATATTATTATTTTTATTTTTATTTTTTCAAAAAGAAAATTTGGGAACTATAGGTTTATACAATTGATTCATTTGTGACATTCATTTTGTTTATTCATTATTATGCTCATAAACGTTGTCATGGGCAAAGGTGAATAGTATTGTGAAAAAAAAAAATCCTAGGGAATGGTAACATTTCCATAATTATTTTTGTTTAAAATGTAAATAAAAAATTTAGGAACCCAAGCTTTATTCAGTTCATTCATCATTAATTATGCTGATAAATTTTGTCATTGACAATGAAATAAAATGTTAAAATATCCCACAAAATTAGTCAAATGTACGACGTATGAACACAAATGTACAGAAAGAGAGAAAGAGAGCAATAAAACTTTTAGTAATATTTAAAAATATAATTATTTATTTCAATTTTGTATAATTAAGGGTCGTTTGCAAGTTATGTCACACTCGGGGGGGGGGGGGGGGGGGATAATGTTTGTTATTGCTGTTTCAAATTATAGAAAACTAACCAAGTAAAATCTATAAAATTTATTTCTAATAATGTTGGGTGGGTGGGGGTGGGGAGACTTGTGTCACAGAGGGGGTGGGGTGCTGAAATTTGTGACGTCATGATTTTTTAAATTTTTAAATCTAAAATTTTTGAATTTTGAAAAATCTTTATTCAGTTAGTTTTAAGAAACATTAAGTTGAAGTAAAAAATGCCTCAGCTATTATAGGTACCATGAACCTCAGTTGTGCACACCTTCTGCACATCTTGAAAAATGTCTCAAAAACTGTTTTTACATTTTACATTCCGTTTGTGGATGTCTTCGTTGTTTCGTGTCACAGTTTATCTAATAATACTACATCTTAATCCATTGTGGGAAAATGTTAAAGAATAAAATAAAATCTTAGTTGAGTTATGCAAATTTTATGTATGCTTTGATTTTTTTAGGTGTGACGTGACAGGGGTGCAGGCCTGTTTACCCATAAACTTTTAAAATCGTACAATATCATCACAAAATTATTCAATATAACTATTAATTGAAAAGCTAAAAATATCAAAGTTGTGGGAGCATCATTATCGATGTTTCATGATGCTTATGATTGGAGATATGCCAAAGATCACTGTCAACAGATTTGTTTATTTTTTTTCATGAAGTCTGTGTGCTATCTGTCTACAAGAAACTGAGGTGTTAGGCGTTGTGTGACTATAAATCTCAAAGTTGTGGGAGCATCATTATCGATGTTTCATGATGGTGTGGGCTGGAGATGGGCCAAAAAACACTGATGCAAACAGACTGAATGCAGAGAATCCTGGTTCAGTGAGATTAGCCTCAGTCTAATTGATATTCTCCTGTGACATACGTATCTGTATGAGAATTATGTTGTGTTCACAATGAAAAAGCTTGGTGTTCCTAAAGACACTGTCACCAGATTTGTTTAGTTTTGTTCATGAAGTCTGTGTTGCTGTCTGTCTACAAGAAACTGGCTTTAGGCTAGGTGTTGTGTGACTTTTTTCGAGTATGTAATTTAAGGATAGCTCCTAATATTTCTAATAAGATGCACATTTTAGTTTTTTATATTCTTAGTTTTATCAAAGTGAAGAGGCTTAAAAGCAGTTCAAGTTTTTTTAAAAGTTAAATTTCAATACCCATTTACTGTATTGTTATATATAATTGTAATTGCTACTTAAAACTTACTTTTTGATTGGTTCTAGAGCTGCCTGATTACAAAAGCCGTTGGATCTGGAGGATACATTGATTTTACCCAACATATGTCCACTGGGAAAAAGGTAACAATGCATTTGATGATAGATAATTATCATAAATTCATTATGAATAAAAGAGCTTATTTGTGGATGCAACTCTTAAAAAAATCTTATTATCATTTAGACCAGTACAAAAAATGTACTCTTAGAATTTTAACCCCCCCCTAATAGGTATTTCTATCTCTTTTTTTTTGTTACTTGAAAACTCTTTCCTCGCATTCTTTATAGAATAATTTAAAACAACTAGATGTATTTGATGTGTTAAAACTTGTTTTCTATTAGTAAGAATTATCTATCTTAATGTCAGCCTTAATAAGCCCAGTATTTCAACTCTTGCAGGATGACCTATACAGACAGATAACATTGGAAGTCAAAGGTCATGATTTAGCAATTCTTAAGAGCTATGAGACATTTACATCAATGGCAGCTCAAGAGTTTGGTGTAAATATTGCCAGAATGTAAGAACATAAAAATGTTGTTGCTTTATTATTATTATTTTTTAAAGGTATGCATGATATTAAGTCAGAGGGAGGGGAAATTTTTTAAAAACTTCATTGACCAGACACCATATTTAAAGAAAACGCTTTCTATATATACTTACGTGTTTAGAGTCTCCTTAAAATATACTTTGCATAGTCCCAATGGACCAGATTGAAACATGTGGCAGGCTGAATCTGGCTCTTGCATGTTTTTTTTATTTTGAAGGATCTTTAGTTAAATAAAAATAATGCTATTTCAGAGCATGTAATTTGTGGTTTTAAGAGGTTTCTAATAGATCAAACGATTTTCACATTAAATGGCTAACTTAATTAATTAGCTTAAGGAAATTTGTGTTAATATAGTAGAAATCTGTGAGTTGCCTATGCTGACACAACTATCCTCATTACCTTACATAAGAAGATATTTTTAATTTAAATTTAATAAAGCAAGGTTGACCAGATCTGGCTTGGATCTTCATCATTCAGATCCAGTTACCATTTGGTCATGTGCTCTATGGTCATGGGGAAGAATTTATACAATCCTTTTGCTTGCCTTGTTGATTGGGGAAAAGTGTTTGTCAAAGATTTCTACTTTTTTTTTTTATCTTCCCCTATTTTTTTTTCATTTTCATAATACCACATTGATTTAGTTTTCGATTTCTGCCTTTCACTGCATAGGTTACTTAGAAGGGACCATAGCCATGTGTAGGTCTAATTCTTTAGTTGTCTGTGCCCATTTATTTCTCTTGGCTGTCTTGATAGCTATTTTTGCTTTGGTAATGGTCTGATTTAGATATATTTTGTTTTCAACTGTCGATTATTTTATTATGATTTTCTGGCAGATTCTCTGGTTTTTTTGTTGTTGCTTTTTTATGGCTTTTCCTATGTTTTTGTTACAGAAAGATTTATATTTCCTGCTGCAACATTTTAGGATACTTGGGAGGCAGCTTCAAATATGGCTTTTGGGATTTGTTCACAGACTTTTCTGTGGTGTTGTCACTAAGATCTGTCTTAGATAAGAAGTATCCGAAATCTTAATGTGAGACAAAGTAAAATAGGAAACATTTCCTTTAATCTTTCTGCCCACCTTTTTTTTTTTTTGGATACCCTTCTCAGGCTACAAGTTGTTGAAGATTTTTGCCATGTAACTATTTTTTGTTTCACATAAAATTTTACAGTATCTTGTGTTTTTTTAAATAGCTATTTTACTTAATATGGCTTTTGGGATTTTTTCACAGACTTTTCTGTGGTGTTTTCACTAAGATCTGTCTTAGATAAGAAGTATCCGAAATTTTAATGTGAGACAAAGTAAAATAGGAAACATTTCCTTTAATCTTTCTGCCCACCTTTTTTTTTTTTTGGATAGCCTTCTCTGTCTACAAGTTGTTGAAGATTTTTGCCATGTAACTATTTTTTGTTTCACATAAAATTTTACAGTATCTTGTGTTTTTTTAAATAGCTATTTTACTAGCTTGATCAAAGGTTACTCTCAAACTACTTATGGAGTAGATACATATTAATTTGCATATTTAACATGCCATTTAAATATTTTTTCTTAAGATATGAGCCGCCTCGTGTGTTTACGAGAATGAGTTTAATGAAATCAGTATTTGTTCACAAGAAACATTTTCACCAGTATGAAATGAGGACACTGTACAAAGTTTTTGAGGTAAGACATTTTAATGACTGGGTCAAAAATGTATGAACTAGAGAAAAATGTTTATCTGAGATTGGATCACCAACATCATACCTGGCTATGGTAAGCATCCCAGGATGGTGCTCAGTATTGACACACCAATTGGGTGTAACCTGATTCCTTCCTTCATGTTATAAGAGTGTTGGACTGTGATAAAGTTTTCAAGAAGATTAATGGACACGAACATTTTGTGAAAATAAAGCAATATAGGTTCAGCTTTAATAATGATCATACAGAATACAAATGTAAACGTTTCAGCAAATGCTTTCATCAGTACAAAAAACATAAAAAATATTCATATTAGAATAAATTAAATTGACATAATATATATACATGTAGCCTACCTAAAAATGAGTGAAAGGAATAAGAGTGGGCACAAATCACTGACAAAAACAAAGTTCAGAAGAATGGGAAGGAAGAGGGTGGAAGTGAAATTTAAAAACCAAACAGGAAAAAGACATTGCAGCTATGTAAAATTGTGAATTTGGTTTATACCGTATATAGTCAACATACCAGATCTTGTAATTAATTTATTTTCCATATAATTTCTATCTGGTTTATTACTGCTACTTGCATATAATATACCAGTAACTGCAATGTCTAAAATTCCATTATGATTAGACTAGCACTACTGAAATGTTTGGAAACTGGAAAAATGGCTTGTTTATTTATGTTATACAATTGTTCTCTAAAATGGTCTCAAAGGTGATGTTATGAAATATGTGTAAATAAATGTTTACTGGTGCTCTGTTTTCTTTAATTATATTCTGGAAGTTTTTATAGAGGGCATCAATTTTTATTAACATGGATTAAAATACAAAGTATCTACTGGTTACTATCTATACTTTTCTTATTGTCAACAGCTTAAGCATATTACAGGTTCAACCGCAAGCACATTTTTAGAATATATACAAAGAAATTTACCCGAGGGTATGGCCATGAAAGTAACAAAAGTAAGTTTCAAATTGTATTTGTTCAATATTGCCTTAACTTCTAAAAAAGAAACATTACTTTTTTTTTATTGTTCTTTTTAATTTGGGAGAGGGAATGTTGCTTCATCTATTTTATTATTATTTATTACAATGATTTCATGTATGCTATACCAGACCTGTTTACTCTTACGATTTTGGCGTACAATGTACGATTTTGAGGTGTGTACATTATATATACTGTATGTTAATTTTTTTACAATTAAGATAATGTATTGAACGATTTTGTGATGACATTGTACGATTTTAAGTGTTTGGGGGTAAACAGGTCTGCTATACTTTCCAACATTGATGAAAAGTTATTCAAATAAATTTGTATTCCATAAACAATAAATGGTAAGTGAATGTAAACTGGGTACATGGACTCACAACAATGGTGAATATCTTTTGAGTACTCTGTACTGAATTAGTTAAGTTCTTTTTTCATTAAAGTGAGAAAAGAGGATTAGCATATGTATTTCTTAGTAATAATCTAATATTTTCCCATTAATTTGGGTATATATCTTAAATTACTGTTTCATTAAAAGGCCAGTTTCTCGGTTTTCAGGGGGCTAGGCACATGAGTAGTACTGATCATATAATATCAGGATATCTTCATTAGATAGTTGGTAAAAGTCAATTCTCTTTTCTATTGGACATAAAATTTATTAATAATTATAGTTCATTGCTCAATATCTATTAATCTTTTTTCAAAGTATTTAAATATGCATTAACTTAACTAAATTCTTTTCTCTTTTTTTTTCCCCTCAACTACAGCATCGTTTGGAGCAGTTTCCAGAACACATTAAACCACCAGTGGCTCCAACCAAGCCTGACCAGATCCAGGAAGGATCAAATACCCCTGTTGAAAATTCCACAACTTCTTCTCCTGATGCACTGACATGACATGTTACACTTGTCTTATAGATATTAGATATTGATAGATTTTGAGCAAAAATAAATGTATTCCTTTCTCAAACAGCATTAACTTGTTTTCAGTGGACCTTTTGTTTATTCTTTTAAAATAAAAGTAGATGCACTCAAACCGTGTTTAATAAACCTGTACACAAAACCCAGTTTTCTGTATGCAGATTGGTAAGAGCTAATATTAAACAAAGAAGGCGTCATTGTGTAAATGTGATAAAAACAAGTATTTAAAAAAAAAAAACTTTTCCACCCATTAAATGGTAATGCATGATTAGAAACATTTGTGAAGCTGTCATTCTATTACAGTTGATTGTCATTCTATTGCTATTACAGAACAGTTAACTGTCATTCTATTACAGTAAAGTTAACTGTCATTCTACTACAGTAAAGTTAGCTGTCATTCTACTACAGTACAGTTAACTGTCATTCTGTTGCAGTACAGTTAACTGCCATTCTGTTGCAGTACAGTTAACTGTCATTTTACTCAAGTGAATTTAACTGTCATTCTACTACATCAATGTTAACTATTTGACTGTATTTGATGTCATTTTTTCATCAACTTTCATCTACTAATGTGATGACTAAATTTTTGGTAATGCACCTGGAGCCTCAATGGAATTTAGTGCAAACATTTCATCCAACCACTACACAGAAGTACTGTAACAAAATAATCTCACTTTTTAAACCATATTAAAAATATATGGTATAAATGGATTGAAAATTTATTTTTTCTCAAAATTATGTCTTTTTACTAGTACCGGTATGCTATTTCATAATTGATGGGTACTAAAACAGAATATGAAGGTGAAATCCCACATAGTCCAGATTAGTTTAAGTTTTATAGACACGAAATTAAACTCAGTTTTTGAATTTAATATTGAACCAAATTAATTTATTAAATTAACTCAAAAAAAATATATCTAGCATCCATCTGTCTTCATGAGTAGCTATTAACACTTTATCAAATGGTTAAAGAGGCTGATCCTAGACTGGTGGTCTCGGCTGCACTTCTCGCAGGAGAACCTTGACTCATGGTTGAATTTGGCCTTCCGTAATGCTCTTTTTGTTGGAAGAGCTTTTTTTAAACCATCTTTTGCCTGTTAGGCTCCTTCATACACTGCTGTTTGACTCCTTCATACACTGCTGCTTGACTCCTTCACACACTGCTGTTTGATTCCTTCATACACTGCCTGTTTGACTCCTTCATACACGGCCTGTTTGAATCCTTCATACACTGCTGTTTGACTGCTTCATACACTGCTGTTTGACTCCTTCATACACTGCTGTTTGACTTCTTCATATACTGCTGTTTAACTCCTTCATACACTGCCGTTTGACTCCTTCATACACTGCTGTTTGCAAGCTGGAACAGTGCTCAGCGATGAACTCCCATTCATTGAGTTCCCTCATGTTCCTTTTGCAAATGTCCTTAGATCGCAGTCTTGCCCCTTCTACCAACTCTTCAAACAGCAGATCCTTTGGAATTTGACCTTCCTCCGTTCTCCTTCCATGGCTCAACCATCGAAGGCTCTCTTACTAAGAGCGGAGAACAAGCTGCACATTCTGGACGCTCTAAAACCTCTGTGTTAGGCACCTTGTCCTGCCATCGCATTCACAAAATGTGACGCAGGCAGCTTTGGTGGCGGCTGTTACGTTTCTGCTCATGACTGGCATATGGGGGTCCACAATTCACTGCCATAATAGGAGCATACTGAGCACACATCTCTGATAGACTTTCAGTTAGCTTAGGATTATTCCACAACCGCTTATTCAATGATGTCATACTTGCTGCTGCTTTCGCTATCCTGAGTGATACTTAACTCTTCGTCAATGGAGAGTGAGCTAAAGATATTGGACCCCAAGGTATGTGAAATTTGTCAGTTACTGACAAATTATTGCCCCCAGTAGTTATTTTTGGAGGGACTATGCTTTAGGCATCGGGACGATTTTTTTTCTCCTGTAGACCAATTAAGTCCAAATTCTTGAAATGCGTAGCAGCCGCGATTAACTAACCGCATTAGACCTGTGTGCAATGTTAAAGATGCATCACCGGCGAACAGCAATGCATAAATTACCTTGGTGTTTGCAAAAAGGTGGGTAATATTGAACAGCCCATTATTGCTACCATCAGATATGGATGAACATTTCGTTTTCCCAGTCCCTGAAGGCAAACTGAAAAAGCATTGAGAAGAAAATGGAGAAGAGCCTTGTTTCACTTCACTGCTGAGTGGGAATGCCCGAGAGACTGCGCCATTGAATGTCACTGTGCTGTAAATGTTTTTTCTTGAAATGACTGTGATTGCGAGCAGTCCAGTCGTGGGGTAGATCCTATTTTATTTTATGCAAACTACTGAAGAAGCTACCCGGCTTACCAAGTCGAATGGCTATTTAAATATCAGTGGTCCTATCTATAGCTGAAATGTTGGCTATCTCAGCAATATTTATCAAATTCAAGATTTCAAATGGCAATAAATGACTTTATTGAACAGACTTATTTTCCTCGAGAGACCGTCACATTTCTTCCTCCAGTCAGTCCTGTGGCAGTAGTAGGGTTTCTCATTTCACGGCATTTTGCTAATCTATAGCCTACAATTTAAAAAAAAATTTTTTTTAAACTGAATCAAACCATGAAAGAGTGGGTTATCGTCGCTTAATCTTTACAGCCTTTTAATGAAAACCGATGTAGATGTTTGAGAGGTCGTTCACTTGCTCCTCCCCCCCCCTCCCCGCTTAGCCCTAGTACCATGCTCCCGCGTAGAACGCGCGAGACTAAAGGTACAATGCTTCTCGACAACACATAACAACAAAAGTTTTGGGTATAAATCCTTTATAAAATGTAATATCGAGCAGTTGGGGGGGGGGGTTGAGAATGAGAATCAGACAAAACATGCATTCAAGCGGTGGCGTAGCGAGGTTGGTTGGCGCCCGGGGACAAGATTCGCCCACGGGGACAAGATCCATTTTAAAGCGCCCCCTTTTGATTTGTTCAACTCTCAAACCCATTATTTTTACCAATAATATAATATCAAAGCACATTTTGGCGCCCCTAGCTAGCGTGCGCCCGGGAACATCTGCCCCCCCTTGCTACGCCTCTNCCCCCCCCCCCCCCCGCGCCTCGCAACCGCACATTTTTTTCACACCACTGAACTACATTATAATTGTAATCAAACACATGCTTTTAACTTTTACATCGCAGATTTAACCAAGTAGACGCAGCCAAGGCCTCGGGACCAGACAAAATAAGTGGTCGGCTCATTAAACCAAAGACTGTTCTACCTCAAAAAACTGTACAATTTTGGCGTAAACAAGCAAGTCGTTATTTCATTCTACAGTGCAACAATTGGAAGCCTGCTTAATTTCAGTATTACCTGCTGATGTGGGAATTCAACGTCTGATATTTAACACCGCATAAACCGACTAATCAAGAAAGCTAGGAACATAACACAAACTAAACATCTTTCACTTGAAGAACTATTTGAAGAAAGATGTTTTTTGTAAAACTAAACACATTTTGGATGATACATCCCACCCTCTTCATCACAGATACTTAGGATCGGGTCGTTCGGGACAAATTCTTTCCATCAGGGCTCAGGGCGAGGACTGACAAATATAAAAATTCTTTTGCTCCCCAATCTGTACGAATTTACCGGCGTGCTTCCTCTGAAGTACACATCTTTATGAGAATTAATCTGTCCCCGATTTTGCCGAGAGAACTCATTGCATGGCTGTTTGAAATAATTTATTATAAACGCCTTGTGTTAAAATTGTTTATTTTTGTGCTGAAAATGTATAATGCAATCAAAAGCATTCCCATGTATTTAATCAGTAAAAATATATTATCTTATCTTATCTTATTTGTTTCACCACATTTTTCATGAAAACAAAGGAAAATGTTTCACACCAAACGCACTTGCGATATTAAAAAAAAAAAAAAAATCTCATTTAGCGCAGTTATCAGGAATTTTATTTCGTGAAAGCAGTGTCATCGTATTTCCTTCAACTTTCCCATGAAAAACAGGAAAAACATATTTTTGTGGGGTGGGGCTGAAAATTTGATCGAATGTGTTGCCGTATTTGTGCCAAGTTTGACGGGAAATGGGTCACTTAGCCGTCTGAAGATCTTGCCGCCAGCCAGCCACGAACAAAAGCAAAGTTAATATAAAGGATTTAGAATCAATGCATATGATACTCGCAGACAAAAAGAATTTTCCTTACTGGTTAAAAACGGAAATAGTCTCAATTTAAATGTGGTGTAATAAATCTGTGGAGTAAAAGGGGTGGAGCTTTAGAATGTTAATATGGTTCATGGGCGTGAAAAAAAGTGTGGTGTGGCTACCCTGGGGGTGTAAAACTAATAGGGCTTCTTATAAAGTGAGTTACTTGAGTGCATGTTTTGTCAAGTAACTTTAGTTCATTATAACTAATTCTCGATTTTTAGGCCTGCTAATGCCTATGCAACCAAATCTTTTTGACCCAATTGCATTCGGCGACAGAGCGCGCATCCCATCTGTACATAGTACATAGCACAGGTAGAATGTGTAGAGTATGTTTTACGGGATAGGCAGTGGTCGGAAAACTCATTAGCCAAAAGAGTAAAATATCAGCAGCAGGGCGATTAATTTTTTTTGAGAACCACATTTCTTTTCAAGAACCTAATCAAGCACCATGTTTTTCAGAGTCAAAATAGATTTGTGGCCGAATGGCCGAGCCGCAATAAGGTTCATAAAGAGCCGCATGCGGCTCACGAGCCGCGATTTTCCGACCGCTGGGCTACAGCATAGTTGTATCGGTATGAACACAGTGAATTTCAAATATAATAATTTTAAAACAAATTTGTACCCAGGATTTTCCGGGACGGCAGGATTTACCGGGTGATCGTGTATAAAATAAAAATGACCTTTATAAAGTGTAGTGGGCAGGTACCTGTGATTGTCTTTAAAAAAGAAACAGCCAAGAATAATAATTTTATTATTTTTACATAATTTTTGTCCCTTATTGTTAATTTTTAGTCTTGGGTTTGAAATTAGGCTATTTTGAGTTTAGCCCTATCTGAGCTATCATAATCGAATCTATTTAGTTTTCTTTAATTTAATAAAATTATTTTTTTTTATACATGGACTTATTGCAAGCAGGTACATAAGTATGACACGTGAAGTGCTGCTTTTTTATAAAAAGATAGAAGGAAATTAATGTTTAAAATATCGTGTAAAAAAAATAAATGTAATATTGAGTTCGAAAACAGTTTGCTCTTGTGCTATTATTTGTTTCTTTTCATTTTCAAGCTAAGATAGTTTTTGAGGTATCTTAAGTCAAGGCAACGGGAACCCTGTAAATCGGATTCGATATAATGATATTTCAAGTATCGATTCCTATTACGTTGAAATTCGAAGCTTAATTTCGATTGACACAAAATGTAACTTATTCTGGCCTCATACCATTTAGTATTGACTGTATAAGCCATACACGACACGAACTATCCTTTTTTAATAAACAAATAAACAATCACTTCTTGATCACACATTCATGACATTATATTTTACATTTTATTTCCACAATGCCTTTTCCACATTAAGTATTCAAATTCAAGAAGCTTTAAGACAAATTATCGTTTAAAAATTCAACACCATATATCCTGATTAACGTATATAAGTACAACACAAGGTAGGAAAATCTGAAAGAAAGGCGCAAGGAAACTACGAACCTTTTGTGAAGAAGCATTCATCAGCTAATAGTACAAACAGAGAGTAGAAAATAAAATGAGTAAAACAGAGTATGGTTAAACCTGAAAAATTAAACGCAACAAAACAGCGAACGTGTCGGCAGAAAACCTTCGTCAGCGAACAAAACAACAGAAAAAACGTTATAAAAATAAGAAATAGCACTTAGCTGGTAAGTAGTATCTGTGGGCAGCAATAGAAGTGTGGAGTAGGCCTGACAATAAATATATAAAAACTTACATAAATAATCCAAGATAAAAACAAAAGTAAGTTGGTCTTGATGTCATGCCATATTTTTGGTACGTATTTAAACAAAAACAACAAATCTCCTTTAAAATTAATGACTTAATGTAAAACGTATGTTTTAGCGTAATACAAAAAACCAAAAAGTGAGGTGAAAAAGACAGTTAAATAAATCAGCTGTAGCGTTATTTAACGATATCACAAGAACGTACAATTCAATAGTCGAATATAATCATACATTTATTCATGATTACAATTACGCTGAACGCGACGACGTGAACGGCAGCGACGACAGCATCTTTCACAAAATAATCGAAATTGTAGAAATTCACGAGCTATACGTGGTTACGTGGTAAGAATTAACGGTTGGTTAATTTTCAGATTTCAGCCAGATCGGTGACAATTTAATGGCTCAGCACGGAAACAAACTCGGTATGGAGATATTGTCAGTCGAGGCCGAGAAGAAGGAAGAAAAACATGGCGGTGTTGAAAGACCGCACCGCGTCCTTGTAAAACGTCCGATGCGGTGGTCGAATGGCAACCAAACGCGGTGCTGTCGTCGTCGGTGGTATTATAGACAGTCTGAAATAACAATATAAATTTTCAGTTTAACTCACTTACCTGGATACAATTGAATAAACAATTTCATATTTTATCAATCACAATACATAATCAATAATCATAATACTAATACAATGAATGTCAACAAATTCAAAATATTAAATAATAATTAAATTATGCTGTCAAACAATAAGTCAATTCAAAAGTCAAGTTTCATTATTTTTTTTATTTTTTTTAATTGGCATTGGGGCAAAATGAGTTAGTTAGTATCCGGTACTTGTGTTAGTGTTAGTGAAGCTAGTCCTAAGTCACAAGACCAACCTCTCACTAAATCTTAAGTTAAAAGCTCTCAACTATGAAGTTAGATTTAGATTTTAATTTTAGTAATGAGTGATAACATGGTCATGATGGTGCAGTAGAGCAGTGTTACTAGTGTTAGTGTTAGATTTGTGACTGATCAGTGTAATATTATGATATATAGACTATGCTTAAACTAAAACTACCTGGTCTACCTTCTTTAAAAAAAAAAAAAAAAAAAAAAAAGAAGGTAAATATAAATGCATCATTTTCATACATTACATGGATATTTAAAATAAAATTAACTAAATTGTCTATACCGGTATATAAAAGGAAACTTATAAAGAATGGAATAACATAGAGTTCATAGAGGGTACAGCCTAGCTGAGTGATAGTGATTAAACTTTAAAAAATCATAACTTTCTTTAGAATCGACCTAGACACATACATTTGGTATCATTGAATTGCATTTTTCAGGCCCTATCTAACCAACTAGCTCTTAAAGCTATAACTTCATTTTGAAAATTTTACCCAAGTACCTAATTAAAGCATTAAAGTGATCTGATAATGAATGTCTAGTTCTAGGTCCACTTTTTAATATGTTAATTCAATTAATAGTATTAAATAGGGCCTACTTTTAAGGCCTCTACATTTAATATTAGGTCAATATATTTGCTTAAGGCTTGGTGCTAGGCTTGCCCGTTAAAAATCATGTGTCAAAATTTGTACCATTTTAAATTAAAATAATTTATATCTTCATTTTTCGTGAATATTTTTAAACTTGTGATCTTGGGCCAAGAAATGGGGGGATCCGTTTTCAATAAGCTGGATTATTTAAGATTTTTACTAGTTAAAAAATGATATACTTAAAATCATTTAAAGATTTCATTAATGTTCTTTTCCTATTGTACTATTTTATTGTAAATGTTAGCTCATTCAAGCTTAATTCCTCGTATTAAAAAAGCTTTTAAAACTATTGACCTAATATTATGTCAATTTGACTTCACAGTTGAACAGTTTTTTAAAATGATTAACCCCCTAATAGTTTCTATTAAATGTATCGCCTTAAAATAAAATATGAGTATTTCCGTATTTAAGTATTAGTTCAGATTGCAATTGCAGATACTAACATATAGTAGACCGTAGAAAGTTTATTGAAACTTTTCGCGTATAAGTCGTGACATAGTTTCAGTAAATCTTGGAATTTGACAGTGTCTTCACCCCATGGAAGGGAGACATCACATCATGATCATGGTGCACATTTCACATCATGTGGTTGACAGCTACTCTTCAATAGGCCTATTTAATCATCAATTTACAAAGGTACAAAATGGCTCAGACTTAGTCTTTCTCAGATTCCAATAGATATTTGATACATAATATTCCTTTCAAATCTTATGGGTGTCTATAAATTTGCTAAATGATCATTTGACTAATTTATAACATGGAAAATATTAATTGCTATGATTTCAATGAAATAAATACATATTTTTATCTGTATTATATTCTTTTGTCAAAAGATTTCTAGCCTCATTTTGAATGTGTCCACTGTTACTGCTCAGAGAGCTATAATAAATAAATTATTTTAAAAAAAATAAAATTACTTGCCTACTATTATTACACATTTGAGAGGGAAAGGAAAACAGTCTTTTAAATGAACTTTTTGTTAAAAATTATTGCTGATTAAAACTAAGTGGCTCAATTTATCTTCCTTTTTAAACTTGCAACATTGATAAATTTGTTAATCGTCGATGATCATGCTTCATAGATTGAGCTATTTTTCTTTCCATCTTCTACTGGAGAATTATTGATAATCTACTGCTCTTAATTTAAAAATTGGATTGTTTATATTTATATCCCAAGGAACTTTGTCTTTTGCACTTCTGCTTTGTTTTTTTCCTGAAAATTATATTTGTGCCATTTTATGAATTTCCTTGTGCAATACTTTTTAAATGTTAATGAGAAAAATTTTAAAAAGGACTTCATTTAATATTTTGTAAAAGCTATTAACTACATATAAGTCGCAGTACTCTATGACAAGGTAAGACTAAATAAAACCAAAAAAATTTTAAATGGTGGTGTGTATAACAAATATTTGATAACCAAGCTTGATGAATGCTGAACACACAGTCACAGGATGCAAAAAAGTTAAACATTCAGAATCATTGAGTTTTACGATTTCCAACTTTTGGATTTCAGCAGAGTGTGATAACATCTGCTTGGGTTGTTGTAATTACACATCTGTCCATTTTGGATAATTAATTTAATGGCTTACTAATTGTGGAGGCTGCTGTTTCATATTCATATCTCTCTTTATATCTATATTTATTATTTATGTTCATGAGACAATAATACCCAAGCACTTTTTAATTAGTGGCTGACATGTGGTGAAAATATTTTACATATTTAAATTTATGAACCATACTGTACTGAGATTTTTGTTATCATATAAAATTGACAATTATTTTTGGATGTCATGCCAGGTATGCTTTACGCCAGGGGTGGTTAACCTACATGCCAGTAGAAACCATTAAATGCATTCAGCAATACCTTCTGGGGTCTTGACTTGAATCATTTTTATGTTAAATGTAAAAATTTCCTTTGAAAATTATTAGTTAATATTTCAAATTGTAATAAAAATGTTAGCAATGACAAACATTATAAATTGTCATTTCAAAATTAAAAATCAAGCGACCCACCTATTAAATGTTTTCCCTGTGAAAGCCCTCTGCACAAAAAGGTTGCCCACCCCTGCTTTACTCCATGATCGTTCATAAGGACTATGTTTCTTATATATTTTATAAAATGTTTTCTTTGATAGCCATTTGTGACATTTAGTCAAGATGGTTGCCACCAAGCTCTACATTGGATATTTACCTGATGATGCAGACAAAGATGAATTAGAAGAAATGTTTAAAAAATTTGGCAATGTTGTGGAGTTTGATATCTTAAAAGGCTATGGCTTTGTTGTGAGTGGAATTTTCATTATGCCAGCATACACATCTTTAAGACAATACGATATGATGGAATCTTTATCAAAATGTTACATTTATGAAGACTTTAACTTTTATTAACATGAATTGAAAGCACACATTTATAAGGTTTACACACATTTATAAAAATTGTACAAGTATTTATTTATAGTTTCAAAGACTGGTCAAGTTTAACTTTAAGACTTTAACTATATTTAGGTTAATAGGTTGGATGATTTTTACATCATACTTTGAAATGTTTGATTCCTCAATTTAATACTAAATGCTTCTTGTTTTTAATAACTGGCACAGCACTTTGAAAAAGAAAATGAAGCCAAAGCAGCGGTTGAGGCTCTAGATGGTCACCTTCACAAAGGCAATAATATTAGAGTAGAGGTGAGAAGTTTGGGCTTAAAATACTTTTTTTGGATTTTAGTAGGATCAAATATAAGTCAGGACTAATAACAGCAAGGAATTATAATTACATTTAAATTTTAATATAAAATAATTGGTAGCTAATAGTTTGCTTTTTTTCTGTATAAAGCATTCCAAAAACCCAATTTTGGTTGCTTTTAATTTTAAATAATTATTCTATACATAGTACATAATATGTTTATGGCAGTGGAGTGTTTTTCAACTGGGATATCAGGACTCTTAAGTGTGTTGCTGAAAAATCACAATTAAAACACCTTCAGTAAATGTAAAACTTTTAGCCTAAGTTTATTTTTTTCAGATATCAAGAAGTAAAGTTCGTCAAAAAGCTGGCATGGGTGCAAAAGGAGAATGCTATCGATGCGGTGGTGAAGGACATTGGTCGAAGGAGTGCCCTAGAGGACCGTAAGTAATCAGTAAAATAGAAAAGTTCCTAAAAATAAAACAAAAAAAATTCTGACATCCATTTTTATTTTATCATCACAATAATTTAATTTTGTGCCAGTTGAAAAGTTTGTTAATTCTGTGATCAAATGAGAAAGAGAAAACCTTTCAAATATTACATTTAAATGAATTTCTAGTTCACATTAGTTTGAGACCCAGGGCCTTGGCTAGCAAGAGTTGCACCAAGGGCAAAGGTTGAATTTAGGCATCCTTTTCTAAAAGAAATGTCCAAACTAATATACATATTTTGTAAGAAAAATTAAGATTTTGGCACCCGGTCTGAAAGACCCTTTGCGCAGCCCCGGACTGACATAACTTAAAATTAAATTATTTGAACTTCATTATTTATGACAAAAAGAACTTAGGCATAAATTAGATCATTTAAAAAAGATAGGAAGAATGTAATACCTTTGGCCAAATTTGATTGTGTCTAGCTTAATCCAAAAAATCCACATTATCTCCCCCCTATTACTATTACCATTAATCCACAAAAAAGCAAGTATCACGTGCATATCTTGCTGTCTAGAAAAAATGATTTCAAGGCTTACACTTATAGCAGAACCAATGCAATAAAATAATTAGCTTATTCTACTTTGATAATTTAGAAAAAGAAGTGATTAAATTTATGGTTATACCCTATCCAACATTAGTTGCAAAAGGAAAAAGAAAAGTTTAAAAGTTACTTTAAATTACGGTATTTGTAGCTATTATCCTACAATTGTTAATATTTTATTTAAATAGAGATTTCTTGAGTTTACAATAATTGCCATTACCATGGATTATATAAGTTTACAACTAATTAATATTTAAATGGATTATTCTTTTAATGATTCAGATCTCGAGGTGGTCGAGGAGGACGAGGCGGTCGCGCAGAGCACGACAGATACAATCCATATGATAGAGACCCTTACTACCCTGACCCATATGACTATTATGCCAGAGCACGGATGATACCACCTCATCCATATGATCGCTACAGATATGATCCATATGAACGTCGTCTGCCCCCACCTCCTCTAGCAAGAGATCCCTTGTATCGGGACTTTGCCAGGCACTCCCCAGACTACTACAGAAGATCTTCACCACCTCGTGATCCTTATTATGATTATTATGAGAGGCGAAGGTATATGAAACAATTTTAGACTTGTCAGTTTTACTTTCTCATAAATTAGTGAAGTAATTTTAAACTAGATACTTTATTAAACCAAAAAAGAAAAAAACAAAATTATAAAAATATTTAGCGCTTTGAGCAAACTTCTTATGAAAAAAATGAAACAGAATCATCTTTCTAGCTTTAGTACTTTTTGAGCTATGAATTTTTAAAGTGTGGGTTCATTTAATTTTTTTCTCTATGGACTGCACCTCCACATTTTGTAACCCAATTCTACTGATTAAGTCACATGTTAATTTGTTATAACTCTTGTTTAAAGATAATTGTACCGGTCTACAACTTTTAATTTCAGTATCAAAGCTATTTTAAAAATTAATAATAATATGCAATTAACATAAAATTGTATCCTATTAGCTATATACTATGTATTATCAGTAAATTAAATGTATAAGAAATGGTTGTTTTGTTTTACTAAGTCTGAGGCGTCCATTATATATAAATGTCTATAATATGGCAACACGTCCACCTAAATAAATACTAGTTAGTTTAATTTGAAGTTTCAAGTTTTGCTCATGACTAATTAATTAAAGCTTTCTCTGACCAATGGTTAAATAGTTTAACCACAGCAATCTATTATGAATAAACTCTGAGTATAAATAGTATAGTCATGTGCAAGTGAGTGAATAGTTGACTATGTCAGTGGCACTGTACACAGTATGTACGGTAATTAAAATTTATAATATGGTCTCTACCAGGGCTTTAAACTTCAAATTAAATATGTTGTTAAATGCCTTCTAAGTTTATTCTAAAACACAAGTTATCTATTATTTTAATGTAAATAATGGTAATAATTGAATATTTCCTAAGTATCAGCATCTTCCTCATTAAAAAAGGTGCGTGGTCAATGTTCCCTTTAAGCTGCGCGGCTAGCTATTTCACAGACACCGCGCAGCAGTTTTGAGTATCGGCGCAGTAAATTTCCATTTAAGTTTGTGGGCTGTAAAATTTTGCACACAAAAAAATTGATGCTGTAAAATTTTGCACACAAAAAAATTGATGCTGTAAAACTTTGCACACAACTGTATGACTGTGCACACAAACCAGGAAACCTTAGAGGGAACATTGGGCGTGGTCAGAGAAAAGTTGGGCAGAGTGACCTACATAATTTACTGCTCAAACCTAGAAGTGTGGCATCTCTGGTAAAACACATAAGACACTTGTAGATCGATATAAACATGAGGGTTATAACAAAGCTGAAAAGGGGCATATTAGACATTTTGACTTATTCTTAATGATGACAGATGCCTTAGGTTAAGCAAGGTTTGTCTCAAAGTTGACCCGAGTGTAAAGGTCAAAGAAATGATTGAAATGTAAGCCCAGATGAAAGGATGGAAACAAATCACAATTATGGGACAAAATTATTATTTTAAGAAAAGAATGAAATGGCACAATGATCAAAAAATTTAAAACCTGTGAGTTTACCTCGTCGACACCTTACCCATACACCTGTTTTAGTAGCAGTCTCCCTTGCTTTACCCAAGTGCCTATTTAAAGACTCAAATTTTTGTTCCGCTCTCGTCAGTATTTCACTAAAACCCCCTGTGAAAAGTTTTCTCCATTCTGGTTTTGATCTTTCTACTCATTGAGTGAGGACCAAATTATTCTAATATTAAGTCATTTGTACTGGTTTGCTCACCTTGGGAGATAAATATTTGAATAACATTTACAGTAAAAAGATGCTAATCTGTTAAACAGTGGTCTCATCAGATGTCCCTTGGGAAGCCTCATTTAGAAACAAGAAACATTGAAATGATGAATTTTATATATACCATTTTCTTTCTTCTCAGACTGGCAGCCATGGATACATATGGTGATAAATTAGCGTAAGTTCACATTTGATATGGTCCTTTTTCAAGTCCTAAAACAAGTTGTAATATGTATATATTTTGGTTTAAAACATGTTGAGGTAACAATGACAGGGAAAATCTCTATCAGTATGATGGATAATGAACAGCGGTATAGCTCCATTTGATTCCTGCACCTTTGTTTGTTGCAGAGTTGAAGAGATCACAGAAGTTACATGCAATAATTTCCAAAGTAAAGTGTCTTAATAGGATTTACATTGATCTTGTTATATAGTTACTTTTATTTTTTTATTTATTATGCATATTTTATACCGTACTAATTTATGGGGAACTTTGGATCATTTTGGCAGTGGTCAGTTGGGCAGGATTAAGCAGCATTCAGTTTTTTAAGGCCTGTATATTTAGCTCTGTTGATTATAATAAGCTTTGGAGGCATTGCTGATCCCCATAACAACCGTCAGGAGGATAGATGTCAGACCGTCAGGAGGATAGATGTCAGTTGGTCAGATCTAGCCTGTGTGCATTGGAGTTGCTTTAGACTTTTATAATGTCAAGTTAACAAACATATGTCTATCATTTCAGTGGAGCTGGTTCGTCGGGGGATGCAAATGCAGATGAATTTAAAGCTATTTCAAGAACTACAATGCAAGGAAGAGTGCCTGGGCCCTACTAATAACTAGCATCTCAACCATTGTAAATAGTTGAGTTTTTAATCATCCTTGGAACCAACTTCATTTTTTAACGTAATTCCACAATTTGTGTTATGACCTCTTTGACTCATGTGTTATTGTAAGACTGAGCTATCAGCGGGGTTGGATTTTGCTTGTTTTAAACTCATGGCGGAAATTGGAAATATTGCCCATAGTTATGTTAATGTTTAATTAACAAGATTGTAATGGTTGAACCATTGTAAATGTATGCTGTTTCAAGGAAAACCTCAAACAAGCCCTTATTTATCACACCAGTCGTGCTATGTTGACAGAGCTTTATAAACATTGTAAGAAATATATCACTACATAGTTGAGTTTTTCATGTTTCCACTATATTATGATTTGATGCTCAATGCAATGAGGCTGTATGTAGATTTGCTGGTCTACTCACTACAACCTTACAAGCAAGCTATGATCACCAGCTGTAAGGTGGATGATGCTACATGATTTTTGTTCAATTTGTCCTCTTTTCTTGTCATTGAATAGCTTTCTGTTTGACCATTTATGAATGGCTTCATGTGAAAATGTGGCAGTAGTCTAAATATAAAGAACATGTTTTGCCAACTGTTCTTTTTCATATTTCATTATTAATTATGACCTGGACCATTAAATATTGTTTGTATACTATTATTACTATTTGGTGTTAAGTGTTTTATATAATACTCTTTGATCAGAACTACAATTGATGAGAAAGATGGGGGCCAATGAGTAGATAAGCTAGTGTTATAATTATGACACCAATAACACTCCATCAAAAATAAAATTTAGGTACAATGATGTATTCCACTCCAAGCACTGTTCCATGATTATGCGCAGGGTTGCACTTTGGTCAGTACACTTTGGTTAGTTTTGAGTCTATTGCTTTTTTATCCCCTGTAGAAGAGTAAATCTATTTAGTATTTTTCCTGGTACCGTACAGAAAGAGCATGATTCCTCTACACTTTCCACACTCTAGGAATCTCCTTTCTTTGGCAGTTTGGCCAAGTATCCTTCCCTCCACTCCATGGGTATCTCTTCTTTGTCCCAGATAGTCAATTACCTGTCGAAGTATGCTTGATGACAGTTCCAGGTCTTTCTTTAGTACCGGTACTTTGCTGGTATTCCATCAGGGCCAGCAGCCTTTCCATTTTTTCAATAGTTTGAGTTTGATCACAATGTCTATTCTGTTGTGTACATTGCAGTCAATGAATAGATCTTCTTCTGCAGGGAGAATTTCAGGTGGTTCTTGTGGGGCTGGCCTGTTAGGTAGTTCTTTGAAATATTCTAGACATCTTTTCTTTTGTTCATCTTTGTTTGTTAGTTTTTCCACAAATTTTTGTCTGGCTGGCCTGCTTTGCTCAAGAAACTTTCAAGTCAGCCTCTTTGTTGCATTGTACTGGTCCCTTAGGTTACCGTTTGATGCAGCATTTTCGGCCTCCATAGAAATAATGAAATTTCATCAATAAATCTCCTTTCATCTTTCCTGATATTTTTTTTTAACCTCTTTATTTGCGTAGTTATCAAAGGCAGTCACATTTGCTGCTCTTGCTTTGCTCTCTAAATAAACTATCTTCTTTCTTTTCCTCTCTTTACTTTCGTATATTGCTTATTTTGAGAACCACTCCGTATGTTGATATTCTTTCTTCCCTAGTACTTCTTCGCATGTGTTCGTCCAAATCTCTCTAATATGTTTCCAGTGATCTTCTTCGAGAACAAAAATGAAGACAAAGAAGATCGATTTCGTCATCTACTTCGGCGAAATGGCTGTCGGCGAAATCGCCCGGAAGTGAAATGGTTGGTTGCAAAATGGCGACAGCGAATTGTCATATGATATATCCCTTATTCTTATCCTTATTTTTCTGTAAAAAAAAATAATTAAAAAATCGGTTGAATTTCTTGAATTGGTCCAGGATTATATCCTCTTTTATGAGTTCATAAAGACACGTACACTCACGTAGAAATTAGTAGAAAGAATAAAAAAAAAACATCAACTGGACGCCTACCAGGCCAAAATTACTTCGCAAACAACACACATTTTAAAGTGAAGCTTTTTGCACATGTTCATGAATGCAAGTCGAAAACGCAAGCACATCATAGAAAGCTGATAAACATTGTTGGAAAAACTGGCCATAGAAATAAAGAACTGTCATAAAGCTGTCAAATTTCTCAGCTCAATGGTAACTGTTTACAGTGGTCTAGTTACAGTTTGGGCGGTCTATGAGCAGAGACAAACATTACATACACAGTATATCCCAACCACTGGTGTGTCCTGTGCTGTCGATTGGGGGCGACGAGCCCCGGGAGGTTTAAGTGACAGTTCATATTTCACAGTCTTACTGATAAAAGTAACCAGCCCCCCCCCCCCCATGCCTATTCTGGTAATGTAATATTTTGTTGTTCAACGTCTCTGTTTCGTCTTGTTTGTTATTCAACGTCTCTGTTTCGTCTTGTTTGTTATTCAACGTCTCTGTTTCGTCTTGTTTGTTATTCAACGTCTCTGTTTCGTCTTGTTTGTTGTTCAACGTCTCTGTTTCGTCTTGTTTGTTGTTCAACGTCTCTGTTTCGTCTTGTTTGTTGTTCAACGTCTCTGTTTCGTCTTGTTTGTTGTTCAACGTCTCTGTTTCGTCTTGTTTGTTGTTCAACGTCTCTGTTTCGTCTTGTTTGTTGTTCAACGTCTCTGTTTCGTCTTGTTTGTTGTTCAACGTCTCTGTTTCGTCTTGTTTGTTGTTCAACGTCTCTGTTTCGTCTTGTTTGTTGTTCAACGTCTCTGTTTCGTCTTGTTTGTTGTTCAACGTCTCTGTTTCGTCTTGTTTGTTGTTCAACGTCTCTGTTTCGTCTTGTTTGTTGTTCAACGTCTCTGTTTCGTCTTGTTTGTTGTTCAACGTCTCTGTTTCGTCTTGTTTGTTGTTCAACGTCTCTGTTTCGTCTTGTTTGTTGTTCAACGTCTCTGTTTCGTCTTGTTTGTTGTTCAACGTCTCTGTTTCGTCTTGTTTGTTGTTCAACGTCTCTGTTTCGTCTTGTTTGTTGTTCAACGTCTCTGTTTCGTCTTGTTTGTTGTTCAACGTCTCTGTTTCGTCTTGTTTGTTGTTCAACGTCTCTGTTTCGTCTTGTTTGTTGTTCAACGTCTCTGTTTCGTCTTGTTTGTTGTTCAACGTCTCTGTTTCGTCTTGTTTGTTGTTCAACGTCTCTGTTTCGTCTTGTTTGTTGTTCAACGTCTCTGTTTCGTCTTGTTTGTTGTTCAACGTCTCTGTTTCGTCTTGTTTGTTGTTCAACGTCTCTGTTTCGTCTTGTTTGTTGTTCAACGTCTCTGTTTCGTCTTGTTTGTTGTTCAACGTCTCTGTTTCGTCTTGTTTGTTGTTCAACGTCTCTGTTTCGTCTTGTTTGTTGTTCAACGTCTCTGTTTCGTCTTGTTTGTTGTTCAACGTCTCTGTTTCGTCTTGTTTGTTGTTCAACGTCTCTGTGTCGTCTTGTTTGTTGTTCAATGTCTCTGTGTCGTCTTGTTTGTTGTACAACGTCTCTGTTTCGTCTTGTTTGTTGTTCAACGTCTCTGTGTCGTCTTGTTTGTTGTTCAATGTCTCTGTGTCGTCTTGTTTGTTGTTCAATGTCTCTGTGTCGTCTTGTTTGTTGTTCAATGTCTCTGTGTCGTCTTGTTTGTTGTTCAATGTCTCTGTGTCGTCTTGTTTGTTGTTCAATGTCTCTGTGTCGTCTTGTTTGTTGTTCAATGTCTCTGTGTCGTTTTGTTTGTTGTTCAACGTCTCTGTTTCGTCTTGTTTGTTGTTCAATGTCTCTGTTTCGTCTTGTTTGTTGTACAACGTCTCTGTTTCGTCTTGTTTGTTGTTCAACGTCTCTGTGTCGTCTTGTTTGTTGTTCAACGTCTCTGTGTCGTCTTGTTTGTTGTTCAATGTCTCTGTGTCGTCTTGTTTGTTGTTCAATGTCTCTGTGTCGTTTTGTTTGTTGTTCAACGTCTCTGTGTCGTCTTGTTTGTTGTTCAACGTCTCTGTTTCGTCTTGTTTGTTGTTCAACGTCTCTGTTTCGTCTTGTTTGTTGTTCAATGTCTCTGTGTCGTCTTGTTTGTTATTCAACGTCTCTGTTTCGTCTTGTTTGTTGTTCGTCTCTGTTTCGTCTTGTTTGTTGTTCGTCTCTGTTTCGTCGTGTTTGTTGTTCAACGTCTCTGTTTCGTCGTGTTTGTTGTCATCGTGCTGCATGTTCAACCGCTTGGCTCCCGAGACTAATGTTTATTTCAGGTTAGCTTACCAGATTTCTGGCAGCCAAGCACCGACACCAAGGCACACAACAACCGGAGGCGTAGCAGCGGGGGAAGGGAGGAGACATTTAATATCCTTTTGTATACAATTTTGTTACAATTTATTGTGAATATTTTGCAGACTCATAATTAGCTTTAAAAAGATTTTCCGTTCTCAAGAAGCATATCATCAAATTGAGGACACGCCAGATCAAAGTTATGCTGAACAATCAAAATATCCGAGTGTGGTTACTTTCAGCTGCGATTCCTCAGGCGTCTGAACATTGTTTCCATAAGAGAAAGTTCGCTCTACGGGTACCATTTGTGCCGGGAAGGCTGAATGAAAACTCAAGCAGTCATTGCAAAGTTACAGAAGGTACATCATTTACATTAAAATGTTGAACTATTTGCACCCATTTTTCATCTTCAGAAATATTTTGCGAGTTCCATTCTTCAAGCTCGGTAGGTGACAAAAATGATTTCGTATCAAAGGAAGAAATCGCTGGATCAAATTTTTTTTGAATGTGTTGTCATCGGCAGCGAGTCTATATGCCACGTTTCAGTTGGATAGTTTGACTTGAAGTGGGTGAATTAGCCGTCCGAAGTTATTGTCATTAGGTAGTCCAAACCAAAATTTATCTTTAAATGTAGACTATTTTAAGGAGACTCACTTGATAGAACTTTTAATACAAGAATTTTGATACCTACATGGTTTATTACAGTAGCTCAATCAATAAAAAAGTTATGAAGTTTTAAAATTTGATAAAAATCGATAGGAAATTGGCTATTTTTATTTTGTCAATTCGTCCATTTTTGTGGAACCATAACTACTAAGCTAATAATCCTAGACGTTCCAAACTTGGTGTACTTGCTCAAAAGTTTACATATTTAAAGCCCATTTTTTTTTAAAGCAGCTAGAACCAGCCAGCCACGAACAAAAGCCAAGTTGATAAAATAATATATGATTTAAAAATAGGCCAAGGTGTTTATTGTATACCATCATGCTTTAAAATTAGTATACTTTTAGCCATTTATAAACAATTTCTAAAAGTTGTCATTTAGACATTTTCTATGAAACATATTGTTGTTGTTCTTTTCTTTCCTTTTGCATCTGGCATACCGGGGAATAGAAAAGATCAAGATCAATAAACTATAGTATAATAGCTTTTTGTGACGGCCAACTTTTTGTACCGATTTATAAAAATAAATATTTAAAAAATCCATTTATTAATGCAGGAGTCTAAAGAAATAAATAGTTTGAGTAACAAAGTCACCCTTTCCGCCCACCCTCCCTATGGCGCTACGCTACCAAACAAAATAAATCCCCCCCCCCCCCCCCCCCCCCCCCCCTGGGCCCCCCCACCCAAAAAAAAAAAACCCCCCCCCCCCCCCCGCCCTTGGAGAAAAT